TTTTTATCTTCATTATGAAGCATGCACTCTCTCTCTCTCTCTCTCTCTCTCTCTCTCTCTCTCTCTCTCTCTCTCGGAAGCACGGAAATGATTCTTACAGATATATTTGAATAGTTTAAGAATACATATATGTTTTTAACTTTGAATTTTGTTCTCTTTCTCGTGTGTGTGTGTGTGTGTGTGTGTGTGTGTCTGTCTGTCTGTCTGTCTGTCTGTCTGTCTATCTGTGTCTGTGTGTCGCATATTTCTGAGTGTCTGTGTATGTGGTGTATTTTGGTGTGCCTGCACGTGTGGGTATAGGTATGTACATGCACACACATACATGTGTGAGAGACCAGATGTCAACATCATGTGTCTTCTTCTATCACTCTCCACTATATTTTTGAGTCTGAGTCTTTTTGTGAACCTAGAGCTCACCAGTTTGTCAAGACTAGCTGGCCAGGGAGCTCCAAGAATCTTCTTGTCTCTGCTCCACAGGCTAATGAGTCCAAGGCCACCATTACCAGCTCTATGTGTGGGTACTGGGGATACCAACTCAGCTTCTTGTGGGCAGTTTACTGACTGGGTACTCTCCCCAGCAAAGAAGAAGAATCATTCAGGGTAGAACATTTTACAACACAATTATAAACAACCATTGTGGAGGTATCCAGTTAAAATGCTTCAAGTGTTTATTTAAAAGTTTAAATATTACATTTAAAGCTTCTTTAGTATAAATATATAATAATCAGATACTTTCTCTGGATGTGGAGATGACAATAGTGTAATTAGTCCCTCATCTTTATTCTCTCTGTGTGTGTGTGTCAATAACTACACATATAAATGCTATTCTAGACTTCTCCATAATCCTCATATTTAATAATTATTTATTCATCTACTTCTTCAAGAAGTGGAGTAAGGAAGAAAGCGTACAGTGGAAGACAAAAGACAATCTCACTTAGAGTCTAGCAAACACAGTCCCATTTATGCAAAATCAACTGTTGTCTTATTGGCAATCATATGAAAGAGTTTTTTTGCTGTGAAAAGGGGTTGGAATCTTGGTACTACAAACAACAAAAAGAAGACAGTTACAGAAACAAAGAAAAATGAGACAGGAGACACATAGAAAACAACCAGTAACATGAAAAATGTACCTTTGTTTACATTAATAATATGTTTAATTATACAATATTAATATATTAATGTTAATATATCAATAATTTATGTTGTATAAATATATTAATATTAATAATTAATATATTATATATAATTATATAAAATGATGAGTGGTCTAAACACCTAATACAAAATGACAGACTTTTTCATAGATTTTTTAAGTAGATTTCAGCAATATACTTTCTAAAGGAGCTGGGTTCAGATTCAAAGGCCCAAGTAACTAGAATGGAGATGGCAGGTGAATCATCAGGTGTGCAAATTCTGAGAGAACTAGAAGAGATCTGTTGTTATCAAATAAGGTAAACTGTTTTTGTTCTTGTTTTTCTTTGTTTTTGTTTATTGAGACAGGGTTTCTCTGTGTAACCCTGGCTGTCCTGGATCTCACTCTGTAGACCAGGCTGGCCTCGAACTCAGAGATCTACCTACGTCTGCCTCCCAAGTGCTGTGATTAAAGGTGTGCACCACCACCTCCTGGCTAAGACAAACTTTAAATGTGTTCAGCACCACAGAGACTGCTGGATAACTCCTAATCTTATAAAAATCTTAGATACTTGCTTGTGTTGACATTGATGTCTTACTGACCCCATTAATACTTCAAAATGAAACTCGGGTTATGGTTATCTATGGGACTAAACAATTCTGAACTGTGACTGTTACACTGATGTGTGGAAGGACCTGGAATGTTCACAGGTTCCAGTTAGAATGGTCCAATTCTTTTTCTAAATAATGCAATATATTGTTGCTAGAGTTTTCCTGCTTTGCCCACAGTCAGGACAAATCTTTGTT